ATTTTATGTCAGAGATATTTGATTAAAGAGATATTATCTTAATATTGATATTATTATACTATAGGCATTGTTATAGTTAAGTAAATGAGTCTGAGACCATTTAAATACAAATCATACAGATATCTTCATTTAATATTTTGGGTTACATTACATTGGGGGAGAGCATATAAGCCCTTTCGGTTTTTCAACTTAAAAAAAAAACTCAGTGTATTATAAGCATAAAATTTATTTTGATCTACAATACATTTACCATTATTTATATGACTTTTCCCCATTTTTCCACTAACTCCATAATGCCATGTTCTTAGAATGTCAGAAGTTTATTGTTAAAAAACTGATCCAAGTGGTTTTTTATGTACTCTTTCTTTTGGAATTTCTTTCCATTCATGAAATTTCGCAGAGACCGGAATTAGTGGTAGTCACTTGGAGCTAGGTCTGGTGAATACGGAGGGTGGGGCAAAAGAACCCATCCAGTTCTCAATAATATTTATTGCGAGTGACCAATGAGGTATGGAGCCAAACGTTGTCTTGGGGAACACTTCCTTCCGATCATTCACAACTGTTCAGGCTGTTCTCCAAATTCGATGTTAATATATACGTTGGAAAGTTAAGTTCTTATTCTTTAAAGCCGTATGAATGGTTTTTGATTTAATGCTAATATAAGGATAAGAAATAAATAAACAAAAACTCCTTATAGATTTTATTGGATTTTATCTCCATTAGTAGTTTGTTTACGAAGTTCCTGTTGATGTCAGTTTGTGTAGTTTATGTGGCCCTAAATTCCTGATAAATTTCTTGTAGATAGCTGAAGTCGTATCGAAGTTATAACATTTTTTGTGAGTTCCGCCCAAAAAAATCATGTGAGGGACACAAACATTAAGTCTGGGAACAGCTGAGATTATGCAATATGGTTTTCTATGCTTGTTTGCGACACATTTAGGGCCATAGCAATATCTCGCACTGATTGGATGGGATTTTGATCAATAATGGCCTTAACATTGCTGGTTTCAATTTCATGTGGGCTACCAGACCGTTGAGCATCATTGGTGTAAAAATTTCCTGAATTAAATTTAAGAATTTTGACAGGTGGATTAGGTTAAGACATCATCTCCATAAACATTGAACAATTTTTTATGAGCTTTTGCAGCACGCTTACCTTTTTTAAAATAGTACAACAAAATATGCAGATAATGAAGGATCAGATATTTTGTGCCATATTCATAGTGCAATAGCAAACACAATACTAGTTTCAACAAGAGTTAACAGATACAGTTGATGACATATTAAGCAGACCCTACACGGTAATTCATGAATGAACGTCACAAGAAGTTCCAAGATTGCCCGCGATCGCTTTGATCATGAAGACCCTTACACGTTCAATCATTACTGATCATTACTTATCGTTGCTGATCAATTTAGCGCAGTTGTAAACAAAGAAACAGCATAGATATGCTTATTTGGACATTGTCATTTATAATATTGTGCATCAAGAGAAAAACGGAGATATAATAATTACTTCCTAGTGCATGGAAATCGTTTAGACCAAAGTTAGAAAAATATAAGTCAACTACATACAAAAATCTAGGAAAAATATTGCGAAAATAATCAATTTGTTAAGAAAAATGGAAAAATTAATGGCAAATAAACACAACAGTTAAAGATTTTTTTTCTATAAGTAAATTGTGAAGTTTCCACTTTTTTTTCTCTTCAATTTATTGCCTACTTGCCTATTTAAAGAAAAAATAGTTGAAAATGGTTAATAATAATATAGACTAGGGCTATAAACAACTATTTACTTAATAACGAGACCTAGGTAAACTAACCTATCTAGTAGTAGTCTCATAGAAGGTTAGTCTCATAGAAAATCATTTTGACAAAAGTTAATAAAATATAAGTCTACTACTTACAAAAATTAAGGAGAGGTATTGCGAAAATAATAAATTTGTTGAGGAAAATGGGAAAAGAACTGATAAATATACAGAACGTTAAAGTTTTTTTTTTTCTTAAAGTAAATTGTGAAGTTTCCTCATTTTTTATTTTTAATTTGTTGCCCACTTGAATATTTAAAAGAAATAGTTGAAGATGGTTTAAAATTATAAACAAGGGATATGAAAAATCCGCAGCGCACCACCGTCAGTACTTCATTCACTATCTTACACGACAATTCGGAACGTCATTAGTGCAATTCCGATTGACCGTGTAGGGTCCCCTTTATTATAAACAGGATAAACAATCCATCTTAGAGATTAATTCATCAGATAAGAAGTGTATCATAGTGATATAAAAATAAACAGAAAAACCGAAAGGACTTATTTGCCAACCAAATCTACTAGCACTACTTTCAAACAAAATGCCTATGGAGGGTAACATCAGTGCAGGGTGTAAAAAAAGTTAAATCAACATTATGTTTATTGAATGAATGAATAAATGAAAATTCTGTATTTTGTAATTAGGCTAGTCTTGAGATCGTTTGGTGATAGTGATTGGTGATAACGTATTGGTTCTCCGAAGTATTGTGTTTAGACTTGTGACTGGTGTATAAATACTTATTTTGTTATTGTTCGTGTTCTAGTGTTTTCCATTTTATTGTTCATTATGTTTTCTTGTTCTTTTTTTTTTTTTTTTTTTTTTTTAGTTTTCCTTTAAGTGTTAAGTGGAACTACGAGTTCGTCATCTTCTCGTACTTAAAGACTTTCTGGACTTTAATCTTTCATACGACAGCTAAAACTTATAACTGAAAACTTGTATACAAGTTTCATTGGTCAATAATAGAAAGGTAACCTTCATTTAATAAACGTAGCTAGTTAACATGTAAACTTTAGTGTACTATAAATTGAAATCATTTTTGTAGTGTTTACTACTTTCTTACAGTATGGTTGACCCAATTGTAATTGATATGGAAGAGGAGAGTTCCCAAAAGGTTTCCAAGCGAAATGCCAAACGGGCAAGAAAGGGTTCTCTTGATTTGGAGGCAAATTCGGAGGAGTCTGCAGCTAAAAGTTTACTACAATCGGCCTTACAAATCCAGGAGAATCTTAGAGTTTATGTTCAACGGGCAGATAATGGGTTGAATATCAAGGTACAAAATTATATAAATAGAAAAATTCTAACCTTGATAGATATAATTGAAACCCTAGACGACAAAAGTAAAAAGGCACACACAAATGAAGACGTTTCTGAGCTCATCCGAAAAGCGGTTCATGAGTCACTTACGACTCCTAGTATTCATGAGATGATTGCTCGACTTGTAATAGAAAAAACGGTGCCAAAAATTATTGAGGGGCTTGCGGCAGCTCGAGTGGTACCACAACCACAAACCTTAGCCAAAGCCGGTCCTTCAAGAGAAGCGCAAGCAGATATCAGAGAAGCAAGCCCGGCTGGACCCTCAGCGGCTACTGAACCCTACAAAGCCGTAGTCAGTAAAAGAAGCCGCAGGAGGACCAAAGCAGCTAACAAGGTAGCCAGTAATTTAAATAACCTGATTGAGCCGACCAGTCATGCATCTCCTGAAGATTCAGCCCAATTACGAAGTAAGCCAAGGACAATGGCAGATATCGTAAAATCTCTGCCATTGAAGCCGGCAGAGATACCTAACTCTAAACCCACCTACGTCACAATTAGTGGGCCCGGTAAAAGTCCCGTGGAAATCATCAGTGGGCTGCCATCTCCTACTGAAATAGGAGTTAATGCCTCCATAGTACGTGCTACTAAGGGAGGCTCGGTCTTAGTTCGGATGGAAGATAGCTCCCAAGCGGCGAAAGTTATTGGGTGGCAGGCTCTACGAGAAGTAGAACTATAGGCCAAGCTTGCACTAAAGAAACGACCTAGAATTCAAATTAAAGCTGTGCCCAATTCGTGGACTGCGGAGGCATTAATTACGCTTTTACGGGTAAAGCTAATTGATAAATCGATCCCAGCTTCGCTCGTACAAACGATGGACTTCGGCCTGCTTTCTCTTCTACAGCAAGGAATGGAATAACTAAAAACTGGTTGGTGGAAGTGCACCCAACCCTACGATTCCATATTAATTCAACAGGAGTATGAATTAAATTGATAAAGTGAAAAATGAGGTATTTTAATCAAAACCAAAGGATTTTTTCAGTAAAGGTAAACAAAAATTAAGAAAAGGTATTTTATCCGATTCCTCTTATTAAGCAATTAAATAATAATAATAATAAAAGGTTTAGCGAACCCGAAGGTTCACATTCCGACACCACCAATCGCTTGTTACACACCTCCCTCCACCGTTCGCCGTCCAAACCCAGTCCCCAGTCAGCAATCTTCCCACCTTCGCTTCGGTCTATCCCTCGGACGCTTACCATTCGGCACAGCAAATATTAACCTTTTAGGAATTCTCTCGTTACTAAGCCCAGCAACTTTACAAGCCCATTTGATTCGCCGTGATGAAATTATCTCAATTATATTAACCGGATACAGCTCACGCAATTCGGCGTTGTGTAACCGTCTGAACACTCCAGTTAACTCATCCTTCTTCGGTCCGAATATTCTACGTAATACTTTATTTTCAAAAACCTTAAGACGCAGCTCATCCCTTAATGTAAGCGGCCATGTTTCGCATCCATAAAGAACTGTAGGCAAGATAATTGTTTTATAGATTCTAATTTTTAAGTTCCGGGACAAGAGGCGCGAACTAAGTAATTTTGTCACAGAAAAATAACAAGCATTTCCCGCTTTCAGTCTAACCTTAATCTCTTCTTCAATTTCGTTTTTTCTAGTTATCGTAGAACCTAGATACCTAAATTTATCTACCTGTTCAAACATATTACCATCTATATCGATATCACCAGTAGTATCGCCATTTTTGCAGCTAACCATATATTTTGTTTTATCCACGTTTATTTCGAGTCCTAGTTCTTTACCGGCTTTCATTAACGTTGTCGTATTTAGTTTTATAGTTTCAACGTCTTCGCTTAACAGTACCAGATCATCAGCATAGCCCAGCACGGATGTTGTCCCTTGTTGCGAATAGTACAGGGTAATCAAATTTAAATGAATAATATATTTATTCAAATAATATATACATTTATTGAGCTATTTAGTATCTAATGCTGGGGAGGAGAGATGTAATAATATAAACTTTATGTTCGTTAGATAGGGATTGGAGGGGATAAACGTTGAAAATTGGTGTCTATGAAGAAAGCTGCCGAAATCCTTAGGGTACAAGATCTGCCGTCCTGTTGAATAAGAAGCCTTCAGTATCCCAGATATTCTGGGTTCCCATCCGTCCTAGATCTACTGTGCCATTTATCGTTCCTGTCACATCCACCACAACGGGGGCTAAACCAGGTAGTACAGAAATCACATTTGCTCCTATGGTCCCTGGGAACAGAACGATAGGTCAAAATCAAATTCAGTATTCATACATCGTTATAATGATCCGAAATAGGAAAACTTATAAACTTATGAATGATAAGGGGATATTAGTTGAATGTTGAGTCATATTTGCTGAGATATAATATTATACATTTAATAAAATAGATATAATATTGGTTTTTTATTATATCCTATGCATTTTGTTTTTCCTATACATATATATATATATATATATATATATATATATATATATATATATATATATATATATATATTATTTTTTATTTACCTGTGTATCTTTTATATTATTTAATTAGTTTTGGTCCATTTATCTTGGTTTATTATTTTCGATAATCAACCATTCAAAAACTTAACCCCCTCTCAACATTTGAGGTTTCACGTTTCAGGATGCGTAGAATTCGAAAAACGAATAAAAATTTGTTTGTCCGTCTGCGCATTTTCTCCGAAACTACTGAACCGATTTTTTTCAAATTTGGATATAAAATCAGAGGTAACCTGAGGATGATCCTCCTTCATCGACATTATTATCCGCCTTTTACTTTCGAAATGGCGGCCGAAAAACCTGCCTTGCTATAGACTGTAGCGCCGAAACGAATGTAGTGATTTCAATGAAACTTCGCTAAAGTCGTTTTTCTACGCTCTTTAAATTTATATATATATAACATACTTCAACGGAAAGAAGCTGGAAAAAAAGTTACGAGGGGTGGTAAAATTTAATTCCGAATAATTCAAAAAGTATAAACTTTTTTGGGGATGTTGTGATAAGATGTTTCATTTTTATTTTTTTTATTTATTTATATGATATTTACAACTGTATACAAAAAATACATCTAGTAAATTCGCACTTAGATATAATGACATGAAACACATGTTGAGAAACTACCCATTGGTAGTACTCTAATAATATGTCTATATTAGGAGATCACGTGGCCATTTTCTTTTCAGACGCCTCGGAGGGTTATCAGGAATTGAATAGGAAGCAAGGTTAGAAACAAAAGGATTGGGATGGTTATGAAGTTTATTATGGAAGGACAAATATCTGGATTGGGCCAAATCTGATACATAAGGAACATTAAGCTCACTATGGATGATTTTATTTGTGACAAAGTAAGGAGCATTGAGGATTTTACGAAGGATTTTGGATTTTAAGGATTGGATACGAGAGGAATTTTAAGGTTTGGTGGATCCCAATAGCTCAACTCCGTAAGTCCAAATAGGCCTTATTATAGTCATGTAAATGAGTCTTTTGTAATTAATTGGAAGGTTAGAGTGATTGTCTATTAAGTGTTGAAGTTGTCGGAAACGTCGAGCTGTTTCTTGTCGTTTCAGTCTGGAATGAGGATTCCAAGTTAGACGATTGTCCAGATGGAGTCCTAGGTAACGGATTTTTTCAACAGGAATAAGTGAGGTGTTGTTAAACGATGCTGAAGGACAGGAAGTCATTGGTTTACGACGAAAGGTGAAGGTAATTTGATGGGATTTGTTGTATTTTATTTTAATTCTCCAGTTCTGACACCATTCTTCAAGTTTTATGATGTGAGATTGAAGGGTTTGGGAAGCAATAGATGGGTCGTTATTAACTGACAGGATATATGTGTCATCAGTATATGTGGTGATGACAGTATTGGGATGGGTTGCGATGTCAGCTGAATAAACTGTGTAAAGGATAGGACCTAGGATACTACCTTGAAGAACACCTGCAGACTGGGAAAATCAGGATGTAAAGATGTTTCAAAGCAGAGATTTTATTCGCAGAGATATAGCGATTTTTAAATATTTTTGGTTTATTATTTTCAATAATCCTTTGTGATCGACCAAAAAATTCAAAAACTTAACCCCCTCTCAAAATTTGAGGTTTCACGTTTAAGGATGCGTAGAATTCGAAAAACGAAAATTATTTTAATCACCTTTTATTTATTTTTCTTTGCTGTTTATTTTTCCTGACTGTTATCTTATACCGTGGAAGGATGAAGTAAGCATGATTTTATCAGGAGCAAAAATATTATCAAAGTTGGAATTATTACAAGCATATTATCAAGTGTCAATAGCAAAGTCGGCAATAATAACACATTTTGGGTTATTTAAATTTAATGCCTTTATCTATTTGGATGTCATCTTAACTGCGTCATAAAATATATCAGATAACAAAAATCATCTTTTAGCTGTTTTCCAGCGACTACAGAAATATGTATGAACAATATAAATTAGTAAATCATAATTTAGAAGCAATGAAATAAATTTTATTGAACATAAAATTTCTACTTCCGGGTCTTAATCTGCTCCGAAAAAGATGGAGGTTATAGTTAATTATAAACAAACGGAAACACCTAAAGAACTCCGAGTTTTCCATACCACCCCCGTCTTTGTTTAACTAAAAAGAAAGAAGTTAACAAATTAACTCCCCTTCATATACATCCTAATAATAAAAAACACTGACTAAACATATTTCTACTGACTAGAATACTAAACCCACGTACTCAGGCAGACTACTCAACTTCTATTCGCAACAACCATATCACAAAAAAATAAATACCGCCAAAAACCTTATTCACCGAACTCTTTCTATATTTAATTCACAATCTCACCAAGCCAACACTCATCGTGTCAAAAATATACTCTTTTCTAATAATTTCCCTCTTAACACCATACTTAAACTTTTAAACTGCTATAAAACCAAAAATAATACAACCTCCCCTTCTCTCAACTCCCCACATCACCTATCACTCCTTTCATATACTCTCCCCTATATTCCTATTCTCTCAGATAATATACGAAAATTCTTTAAATCGATTATAACTTTCTTTCCTTTTCAGCAACTTGAAGATCCCATACTTTCATAACACCGATCTAACATAGTTTACCGGATATCTTGCTCTACTCCTAATTGTAATAGCTCCTATATTGGTGAAACAAAAAACCATCTCAAAACTCACAATGCCCAACATAAAACATCCATAACTTCTCGATACCCTTCCACCTCCAAACTATCAGAACATACCATAATCCTCAACCATTCATTTGATTTTGAAAAAAACCTCTATTCATGCTAAGATCCCTAACCATGAAAAAAGACTCACTTCCGAATCCATTCACATTCACATGGAACAGAATTCTGTTAATCATAAAGAAGATAAAAACTGAATTCCTTTAACATATAGACACATATTAAATCATATAAGTAAAAAATAACTTATGCATCGTATTATGTTTATCTACTTTAAATTTTTATTGATAATTCAATTTTATTGTTCATTATTCTAAGTATTTCCGCTTTGTATGATCTCTCTTTTATTATATTTTAATTTTATATTGACATTCCACATCAATGTATGATCATCCGTTTTCATTTTGTATTCATTTTACTTTTTAACCACATCTCAATATGATCTAATATTTAGATGTAATTTTCTTACATATGTACAACAAAAATAATTATAATTATTCATATATTTTTATTCTCTCTATACTTCTAAATTAGTTCTGCAATGTATGATCTCTTCTTTCTATATTTATATTTTACTTCTTCCATTTTTGTATTTATTCACATGTTGTACTATTATCTATAATCTCTTAATTCTATTTTATATGTATATGTATAAAATTATAATTTATTATTTCATTGATATACTATTTTTCCCTTTTATCCATCCATATCTTCAAATTTTAGATACTGTAATTTTCTAGGTTTTTTCCATAACCCAAATAGGTCACCAAATTTTCCTAATACCTACCATTACCATGATTTTCCAGTTCTAAGTGAAACTTCTAGCTTAACACACCTGTAAGTCTCTATTTTAATTCTTCTAATTTTATTTACTTACTTATTTTCTTTTTTCTTTTCTTTCTCTCATGTAGATCTGTAGAAGTATATTCACATTTGCATATATTATATATTACACTACAACAATTATTACCATCTATTTACTTCAGGATCTTGTTACTTAGTGTACTCTGTTTACATTTTAATGTATTTACTGTTTATAACTTAAATAAGCTTTTTCACATTGTTTTTAATTTTTTGTCTATATATTATGAAACTTGTGTAACTTCCACAGTTCTCTATATCTTTTTGTATCTTGTCCGTTCTAGCTCTGAAGAAGACCTGCAAAGTCGGGTCGAAACGTTGGCTTATAATAAAATAGTTTTTCCACTATTTAGCCTATTTATGACCGCCACTCCAGACCATCTCCTTCCTTTACCTTTTTTAAAACTAATACAACATAATATGCAGATAATGAATGATATTTTCTTACATATTTACAGTGCAATATCAAACACAATACTAAACTAGGTTCAACAAGAGTTAACAGATATAAGAGGAAGGAACCAGAGTTCTAAGTGAAACTCCTAGCTGAATACACCTCCCTGAAGAAAATCTGCAAAGTCGGATCTAAAAGGGTGGCTTTCAATAAAATATTTTTACCACTATGTAGCCTATTTATTACCGCCTCATCGGACCATCTCCTTCCTTGAGCAGGGAGTAGCGCAGGGATTTCCAGGGGGTTCCCTGATTGTATATAGGTATGACAGTATTTTTATGTTTTTAATTTACTTATATTTAGGTTATTTTATTTTTTTATTGTATATAGTTTTATTTATTATTTTATTTTTGTTAATTTTTTTTTTTGTATATACGGTGTGAATGTGTTCATTTATCAATATAATTATTGTCTCCGTGAACGAATATTATATGTCTAAATAAATAAATAACAAAAAAAAAATGTTAAATAACCCGCTTACAAATGTTACTATCACCTTCTGCCAGTGTCAACCATGTCTGCCAAACTCACTCATGTCTGCTAATGTCAGTCATGTCTTACCAATCTCACTCATGTCTGCTAACGTCAGTCATGTCTTGCCAATCTCACTCATGTCTGCTAATGTCAGTCATGTCTTGCCAATCTCACTCATGTCTGCTAATGTCAGCCATGTCTTGCCAATCTCACTCATGTCTGCTAACGTCAGTCATGTCTTGCCAATCTCACTCATGTCTGCTAATGTCAGTCATGTCTTGCCGATCTCACTCATGTATGCTAATGTCAGTCATGTCTTGCCAATCTCACTCATGCCTGCTAATGTCAGTCATGTCTTGCCAATCTCACTCATGTCTGCTAATGTCCTGCTAATGTCAGTCATGTCTTGAGAATCTCACTCATGTCTGCTAATGTCAGTCATGTCTTGCCAATCTCCCTCATGTCTGCTAATGTCAGTCATGTCTTACCAATCTCACTCATGTCTGCTAATGTCAGTTATGTCTTGCCAATCTCATTCATGTCTGCTAATTTCAGTCATGTCTTGCCAATGTCACTCATGTCTGCTGTCAGTCATGTCTTGCCAATCTCCCTCATGTCTGCTAATGTCAGTCATGTCTGCCAATCTCACTCATGTCTGCTAATGTCAGTTATGTCTTGCCAATCTCATTCATGTCTGCTAATTTCAGTCATGTCTTGCCAATCTCACTCATGTCTGCTAATGTCAGCCATGTCTTGCCAATCTCACTCATGTCTGCTAATGTCAGTTATGTCTTGCCAATCTCATTCATGTCTGCTAATTTCAGTCATGTCTTGCCAATCTCACTCATGTCTGCTAATGTCAGTCATGTCTTGCCAATCTCCCTCATGTCTGCTAATGTCAGTCATGTCTGCCAATCTCACTCATGTCTACTAATGTCAGTCATGTCTGCCAATCTCACTCATGTCTGCTAATGTCAGTCATGTCTGCCAATCTCAATTATGTCTGCTAATGTCAGTCATGTCTTGCCAATCTCTCTCATGTCTGCTAATGTTAGTCATGTCTGCCAATCTTACTCATGTCTACTGATGTCAGTCATGTCTGCCAATCTCACTGATGTCTGTTAGTGTCAGTCATGAATTTTTCAATAATTTTCTGTTAAATACTTACCAGTTGTTTGAGTAATCGCATTTGCGATTCCTGCGGTTATAGCAGATTTGGCATTTAGATTAATACCAGTAAAGGCGTTCCTGGACACATCAGCCAAACCCCGGAGTATGTTTAATTGTCTGTAGGCCGGTTTTGCCTTTTCGATTTCATCGGGACCGATCAGTTCTTCTAATATCTTAGGTTCACCTTCGTCTAGCTTGCGCATTACAGTTTCCTCTGGCTTGTCTAGTTCACCGTCCACTATCTTGTGCACTACGGTTTCCTCTGGTTTGTTTAGGTCGCCTTCATCTAGCTTGCGCATTACAGTTTCCACTAGCTTGCGCATTACAGTTTGACCTTCCTTTGGCTCGTTTAGTCCATCTTTATCTAATTTCTTCGTTTCACTTTCATCTTGGGTTTTTATCTGGACAAAACGTAAGGTGACGATCGCCCATACCAATATCACATCTCTGTATCTCATTTCAGCCTTTGGCTTGGAGATTGAAGGTGAATCGTGCTATAATCTATGACAAAAAAAACAGAATGTTTAACAAAACACTGTTGTGTATAATTATTTTTATACATAGGTGTACAAAAAACAATTGTATATTATTGTACAAATATTTTTTATCTTATTTATGTCCAAAAAACTATTTCAATCATAAATATTATTTATATTGAACTTATATTATATTTTATGAAATTCGATTCTATGATAGGTCTATACTTAACTTAAATGCATAATTTAGGATTCGTAGGACTTATGGTTTTTGAGCTAGGCCGTTCGCAGACTTATGTACAGACCATTTCGCCAAACCTATGTCTTTTTTTAGACACGAGGAAGCTTAAAACTTGTATTTCCGTTGAAAACTCGGATTCAAAAACGCTCAAGTCGGAATACTTTTCCTTACTATATATTTCATATACAGAAAACTAAAAAATACATTAAAGGAAGGAGATGGTCCGGGGTCGCGGTCATAAATAGGCTAAATAGTGGTAAAACTATTTTATTGAAAGCCGACGTTTCGACCCGACTTTGCAGGTCTTCTTCAGGGCTAGAACGGACAAGATATAAAAATATAGAGAATTGTGGCTGTTACATAATATGTATGCATAATTTATAAACAATGTGAATAAGCTTATTGAAATTATAAGTAAGTACAATAAAATATGAACAAAGTAAGCTGAATAACAAGATCCTAAACTGAAGTAAATAAATGCTAACAATTCTTGTAGCGTAATATATAATAAATGAAAATGTTAATATAATTTTACAAATCTACTGGAGAGATTGAAAGAAAATGAAAAAGGATATAATATGAAATAATAAAGGAATGTGGAGAAAGAAAAAAAAAGGAAACCAAAATTAGATAAATAAGTGAATAAAAATGAAAGAATAAAATTAGAGACTTACAGGTGTGTTCAGCTAGGAGTTTCACTTAGAACTGGAAAACCAAGGGTAAGGGTAGCAGGTATAGGGGAAGCTAACACGTGTGGGTAATTGGGAAAAACTTAGGAAATTACAGATACTATGTCTATACAGATAATATGTCTATTATTTCATATTATATCATTTTTCCTTTTCTTTAAATCTCTCCAGTAAATTTGTAGGAGTATATTCACATTTTCATTTATTATATATTATACTACAACAATTATTACTATCTATTTACTTCAGGATCTTGTTACTTAGCGTACTCTCTTTACATTTTGATGTACTTATTGTTTATAACTTTAATAAGCTTATTCACATTGTTTATAATTTTTTGTTTATATATTATGTAACTTCTTATGGAAGACTAACGTGTTATTCCTATTCTAGACATAGAAGGCAAAAACTTAACCGACGATATGAAAAACCTTTGAATGAACACCACTGAATAAAAAATATTACAAAATGATTGCAAATTACTAATGTACAAGACAATCCTGAAACATATCTGGATCTAAGGACTAGAACTGAAACCACTATTATTTTTTTTAGTATTAATATCAATTTTTTTTATTTATTTTTTTTTTTAAATTATCAAATGCATCCAATCCTTCCAGTCGAAATTTCTTCGAGCAATATGTAACACCACGATCTTAATATCCCACTTGTCTCAGATCTTATACCAGACGTATTCTTCATATTTCACCAGAGTCTTATACACCATCCACATCGCTTGCTCAATACCTATTTAGTTTCCCCCAATCATGCAATCCTTTACGAACGTAGGAACGACAGTGGCTTCGCGATCTTTCATAAATCTGTATTTAATGGAGCTCCGGGAATTATCAGATTCTCTCTTAAGACATGTGTGTTTAGCTATAACGCTCTCGCTCAATTTTAGATGCCTTTCATTATTAGTGACACGGTTTATAGAATATTGTCCAATATACTGCAGAAAATTAGGATATTTAAATTTTTTGAACGAGTCACGTTGTTTGTTGTATAGGGAGCGAGAACATAAAAAATATTTGATCGAAGTAATTAAACATTGCAGCATAGTAAGCTAAATAAAATTTAATTTAAAATAAACTAGGGTTTGCCATTGTTAAAACTATTTAAAAGGGACTTTTGAGCAACTTCATATAGGTAAGTTTGGATTTTAAAAAAGTCATAAATTATCTGTGATTTTCTTTTTTTTTATCACTCTTCAACTGTACTACATTAACCCCACTTTTACAAAAACTTTAATAAGTTTTAAATCCAATAAGCAACCCAGGTAACTTAAAGTACCCGTGTTTTCTGCAAAAATGACTACAATAAACTGTTGCAAAGCATTCATTTATTGTTTTCTCGAGATATGGGAACACATATTACTTCTAAATATAAAAAACTTAAAAATAATGATATTTTATGTATAATTGGTTATGAATTTGTGTTTTTCTCCCAGATCTCCATCATAGGAATTTATATGCATTCATCAGTGACAAACTTAATGTTTCTTACTAAAATTTACGTTTTAAATAAAACAATCTACTTATTGCTTCAATTATTTTCATGAGAATGTAAATATCATCACCCATAAATACACATCGATTCCTATGACATAAATCCAGTTCGTTCAACAGTCCTCTTTAAATTGTTTTAAAAATAGCAAAATCTACTTTTGTTTAAAGTAAATTTTGTCTAGTTTATTATGGAGCAATGTTTAAGTACCTAAAGCAAATATTTTTTGATGTTATCGCTTCCTGTTCAACAAAAAACATGACTCGCTTAAAAAACACAAATCTTAAATTCCCTACTTTTGTGCTGGAATCTGACCATTTTTTTATATTCACTTTTTTGTACATCTTGATGTCACTTATCAACCTTTTAAATATTGCTCTCTACTTATGAATACTCTGTATATTTGCCACAAAGGAGGAGAATTAGTACCTGGTCTATTGCTATGTCTTGGGGTGTTTAAATTTATTCAGGATGCCTCTGAATAATTATTGCGGATAATTATCCATAATTAATTAATAAAAATTAATTAATAAAAATTAATTAATAAAAAAAGTAAAATAAATTTGGATCCATAATATATTGATTGGTCCAGAATTAATTAATTGGATTTCTTTTCTCAAAGGCTGGTTTGTGTTTATCATGCTTTCTAATTACACACATTACCTGTGATCATCATGATATAAATAGGTGGCAGAATTAAAATAACTTTTACTAAAAAACTTAATTTATTTCTATGTTTAATAAAGAATATATACAAATTATATTTACAAGAACAAAATACGTGATTCAATGAATTTAATAATTAACTGTGAAGGCATGATTTCAGATGGACTGTTTTGAAAATTATGTTGCCTTGAAATATTCTAACATCGGTAAATTTATTGTTGGGAATAAAACTTATATATTATAGTATGTGAAGTGGTGTGGTTGGTAGATTTCATCGCATCGCTGCTCAGGATCATCTCTTCATGGTTCAAAGCTCTGCCAGGATCATCATGGTGTATGTTGGGCCAAGGCTTCAGTCCCCAAGCCGGAAGAAAATATAAGACCCATCCTCAAGGCCGGATATCATCACCAAACCTCTCCTCAGGGCCGGATCTCCACATAAGACCTATGTTCTTCCTTTTCGGAGTAATATATACAAATATTCAGGGTGGAGCAAGGATGGTTTTCATTGGTTCTTCACTTCACCCTATTACTTTACAATAACTGATAACACCCTAAAAGGAACCAGTTACTTAGTCCGTTACTAGTTTTTACTCTAAGCCTTCCCCAGGGGTCCAGGTACAGGTGGTCGGTCCTTACAGGTTCCAGGTACCTGATCTGCCCCTCGAGGCTGTTTTTGATGTCAGAAGTCGGTTTCGTTCACATTGTCATAATAATTTTAAAAACATACCGGCCATGTTTAATATGGATGTGGAGGTTTCGGGGAGAAACAAGACATTTTATAAAAGTTTAACTGATTATAAAAGCAGCAAAGAAATAACATAAGACGAGTAATCTGGACTTCTTAGAACACTTAAGGAGTGGATCTTTCATTGCCATTTGGACTTCGATACTTCAGCAATAAAGTAATAGATGTCGTTCACCTCGTTAAAGACTTCCTTTTATATCCATCAGAGTGTAATGACCGGTTTATAAAGGGCAATGCCTTTCTGATCGCTTATTATATTGTTTTTAGACATGTTTTATTGCATAATATCTATATCAGGTCATCCCATTAATATGTCGGTATTTAATTGCGTGATATAAAGGGTCAATGAAACACGTTCGATCTAAAATGTATCGATAAATTTTGTTATATATACAGTTCACCATTTTGAATCCTAATTAGTATTCTTTTACTGAAAAACCTTTAGTATTGAATTAAAGAAAGTCTTCTCTTCGTTTTTCAAGGATAGGTATCTGGATTAGGACGAATCAGCGACATTTGCTATAAAGCCTAACGTAGAAATATCTCAAGGAGGAAACTATACACAGTGACGGAAATGGCGTAAAAACAGCAAAAATAGAAATCTAACTGTAATTTTTTAGATAGGAGAAACCTAACTGAGCCCGAATGAAAAATTAGAAGAGTTAAATGCAAAAGTATATTGGTTATACCAATTCTTTACATATAGTAACTAAAATTGTCAAGTATTAGTAACTATTTTCATTAATGTTTATTTAAAATATCGATTTTTTTTACCGGTCTTGGTCTTGCAACAGTTAGGTGATCATGATCTTGCAAATTGCAAGACCAAGACCGATTTTGGGCAACACTACATGTCGGGTGTTCTGAATTAATAAACACTGAAAGCAAAATAATAAGAACATATGGGCCAATATGGACATATGGAGCAGAACTTTGGGGTTCAGCAAAACAAACACACATAAACAAAATACAAACAGCACAATCAAAAATTTTACGAAAAATTGTTAACGCACCTTGGTACATTTCAAACACTACTATACATAACGACTTAAACACCCCAACAGTAAAATCCTACATCCACAACAAATACACTGCATATCATTCTTCAACCCAAAATCACTCCAATCCTCTGGTTCTCCCTATCTCCTGCTCCCTGTTACCTGAGCAACGAAGAT